TGCCTCTGCATGTATAGATCTAGTGGTCACAACTTCCTTCTATTTATTTTTTGCCTAGTCCTTAAGATATTCGGCTTTGATCTTTTGGATACTGGTGGAGGCGGTGGCAGCCATTTCCACATCCTTTGTTGCATCTCCAGGCACCCGAGCTCTGTTGCATAATTCAGTGATTAATATCGGGAAATGGGGAGATGTTTGGCCCTGCTTTGCACGCATATGGATTTCAGAGGAAATGATCTACCCAAGATTTATCCTGGTTTTTTCCATGATGCATCCAAGACAAGCTGCCTTAGCATGACGAAGAATTGATTCATTCTGTGATGGCATAACTGTACTGCTTATGAATCCGAACCAGTACCGTGCAACTATGTTCAGATTTTTCTTCTCAATTGGAACTCCTTCTGCTAACTATGTTGGAGCATTATCATCTGAGAGTAGCGGGGCTAACCACTTTTTCATTGCATCCACCTTCTGTGTCCTGATCAAGTGCTGGCAGTGGTCATTAATCTTATCTAACATCCCAAAGCTATGTTAATAGTTTCACTGTCACAGGCTACCTTCCTTCCTCTGACAACCACGTGGTCAACTGCTTTAAAAAATGAGACTAGCCTTTTCCATTGAGGTACTAATGCACTGTATGCCTCGTAGAACTTTCTAACCCAACTTGGTATGTAGAGCCGCGATGTCTTATGAAGATTTGGAATTTTTGATATTTCAGGCACTCCATCACTTCTGGATACCTATCAATAACCCCATCTATGGAAAGTCGTTTCTCCTCAAGATCGTCCTCAGACCATCCGCTTTCGATCTATTCATTGATCCATGTTTGGGGCCTTGTACTGGATGTGCCAGCACTAATGCTTGCCTTGGAGCTAAATGAGCTGGAGTGGTGGATTGACTATTTCTGATACGATATGGATCATGTATCCTTTTGGATTGTAACTCAGCCCTCCTTGCCTCTGTCTGGTAATCTTCGTCAGACTCTATACTCTCACTGTTATATGTGGGTGGCTCAGTAGTGTAGAAGCTTGTGCTGTCAAAGCTTGCATCAGATAATTCGAGGGCTTTGCTCTTTCCCTTGCTTTCTGAAGTAGTGGTAGCCTTGCCCCTGGGTGGAGGTGTATTTTCTATGATCACAATTCCTTTCTCCCTTCCTTTAGTCAGTTGTTTGGCCATATCTGCGAAACATCAGAGAGAGAATAGTGAGTAATTATATTGTAGCATAAAATTTCAGACAGACTCGCCGATCTAATCAGTGAATTGACAAACCTCTTTGGCGATCATAGGTATGTCCGCTGAAAGTTACAGAACCCACAACACTTAAGATAAGAATTTAAAGGTGATTTAGGTCTAGGGGGCGAACCACTGAGTGATTCAGTGAGCTCAACTCAGCTCGCCGACTGACTTAACGTGCCTGGGATTCAACTCACTTTTCAAAATCGGTCGCACAAACCTCAAAAGCAAAATTAAACCAAGCATTAATGAAATTTAGCCCAGAACCATAGCACGCATTCAGGGTCAACATCCATTATGCATAGCTTTCCACATTTAGATTCAAAGTAAGTAGAGTGAAAAAGGAAGTCGAACAGTAAAAACAAATAGGCCCCAACTTACAAAACAGAAACAGGTACTCGAAAATGTCTACTCATATCAGGGAGATCTAACATGCATTAGTGGACTCCTAGGTTGCAGATGAGGTCTATCTTTTCGAGAGCGGACGAAGAGTTTTCAGAAACTAACCTTTTCCCTGAGTAAACAAAGTTGTAATGCAAGGCAGTAATGAAAATCCGAGTTCCAAGCACTAATCCGCTACTAAAAGACTAATTTAAAGTGAGAAAATGTAAATTATTAGCTGAGTGTGAAGTTATAGAGTTTGAAAGTGAGAAAGAATGAAAAAGTGTGACTATTGGCCATATATGTTGTTCAATTTGTGTCCATTCGGCGACGTTAGTCGCACTCGCCAACATACTCGGCGATTTGCCGAGTGGTCATTTATCCAACTCTTTCTTCAAAAATCTTCAATTTTCAGTGGTTGAATTCGGCGGTCTGCATCGAGATTGCCAAACTTGTTAGCGATGCGCCAAGTTGGTTTCCAAGTCTGCCGAGTTTTACAGGCTCTATACGACTTTCATATTTAGCCAAACGGCAGATCCAGTCAGGCTCGCAGACCTAATTGGCGACTCGCGGAATGGACTTTCTACTCGCCGACCTGAAGTTTTCCACACTTTCCTCATTTTAACCTACAACACAACATACCATTATTCATAAAAGTAAAATCCTAAATGTTTAAGACCTTAGGTTGCCTCCCAAGAAGCGCCTTATTTACTGTCGTGGCACCACGCAAATCTTTGCTCAAGTTTCGTTGTTGGGGTTGGCCAGGTTCTCATTAGGCCACCCCCCCTGTTTCTCTAGTGATGGAGTTGAGGCAACACATTACTCATCAGGTCCTTGAGTAGTTGGACAGCTTTGGTGTGAGACCAAATCATCCGCTTCATTCCTTCAATGTCTTCCTTCATTCATTTCAGCTTTCTATCTTGCTCAGTCACCTTGTGGAGAATGATTGAGAGCATTCCCTTAAGGCGTTTAACCTCATTGTCCTTGAGACTTCTTCACTCATGAGGAGGGATGTATTTATCCTTCCTCTTACACTGGATTTCGATCTTCACCATGTTTTTAGCCAACTCATCCATTTGATTCATTAGAGTGGCCAACATGAAGTCCTTTTCTACTTCTTGGTTTGTTTTATCCATTTGATTAAACAGTTGGATTGCTATCACATATGGTTGTTTCGCAATGCCTCTCGGAATGAGTTGGTCGACTAACCTCTTGTTTCCAAGACCAAGACTTCTGTAGGAACAGTCAAAGAGAGCTATGTCGGGGATGTCATGATTTGGTCATTAATTGATCAGTTCATTAAACCTTGCCAATGACTTGTGGATCCGTTCACCCTTCAATTGCTTGAAGGTAAGGATACGCTCCCGGAATATCATTACCTCTATTGGAAAAAAACTCCATTAGTTCCCGAGTGCTGCTCGCCATACTCACTTCCTCTGCTTTAATATAGACAAGATAACAAAACTACAAGTTAAGTTAGTAAATTACAACTAAGAAGAACAAAAATTCTACTAATCTAAAAATTCTCAAATAACACCACTCCCCGGCAGCAGCACCATTTTGATGCTTATCGTGACCAACGACACTAACCTATGATATGAGTGTCTACGATCGTCGATAGTATAGTAACCCAACTAAAGGTTGGGGTCGTGTCCCAATGGAGTAGTTTTGAGAATTGATAGAAAAATAAAATTAAGCTTTAACTAGTCGTAGCTAAAGATATTAATGAGAAAATATAATGAATAAAAGGGGGTGACACAAAAGTGTCAAATAACGATTTGGGGGTTTTGTCACAATTAGTAAAAATAGCAAAAATTAACAAGAAAATCAAGTATGAGGAAATGTTCTTGGGGTGTGACCGCAATACAAGTTGAGATAAGTAGTTGGGTACATGCTTTTGAAAGGAAATTTGTAAGATAATAGTGACTAGACTAAGCTTTAAATGGAAAAAAGTTCCCTCTCGGGCAACTTACCCCGTTTCAAATGCGTTCCTCTCGGACACCCATTTGCCGCATGAAGACTAGCCTACGCCTTACCCCACTCACTCTCTCAAGCTGAGTGTTAGGACATGAGACTAGGGCTCACCCTCTCGGGCTGAACCTCATGTCGACCCACTCCTTAAGCCATCAGTCTAGTGGTCTTAGTTTCACGACCTCCCTCTCGGGCAAGCCGAAAACAGATGGCTGTCTTTGTATTTGAAACTACAAACCCTTTAGATTAAACCACAATCACTAGGTGAAATCACCATTAAACTACATCTAACCTATCAGCAAGCAAGACCCAATAATAATATCAACACATATTTGCTAAATCACACCCTAAGAATGGGGTTTTTAGCCACACATCAAAAAATAACAAAATACACCTAAAATGATAGTAAAATTAAATGGGTATAAGAAATTAAACCTTGATTTATTCAAAGGAAGAAGAATGGAGAAGACCCACTTCCACTTTGGGGAATATGAAGTCTTTCTTTCTTCAAGTCTCCCAAAAACCCTCTCCAAACTTGAGAGAAGAATATCCAAAAATTACTATTCTATTTTGGAAAATTAAAATAAAGGTTCGACTCCCTAATAATTAATAACAAGTTTAGTATTTATAGACTTTAGAAAGTAGCGCTGGCGGATCTTTCGGCGAAGTTAGTCGATGCCGCCGAATGACTCGGCGACTCGCCATTCTTCTGTTTCATCGCCGTTTCATGCTTGCCTTCAGCATCTTCACGTTCTGGACCATTGGGCGGTATAGTACTTCTTCGCAGAACTATTTGGTGAAGCGCCGACTACTCCTTCCATCACCTTTTTTTATCCTTCTCCTTCAGGGCTTCGCGTACTGGAACAAAGGGCGGAGTGAATCCCTTTGGCGAATCGCCAAAGGTTCTTGGCGATGCTCATGCTTCAGCTTCTTCGTTCTTTTCAGCCTTTTTGTTCCTTTTTGTTCCTAAGAGTCCATACTAACACTAAAACTTCAAATACTTGAAACTTAAGAGTTTTCATAAGATATTGAGACAAAATAAGAATTCGAGGACACTATTTCTATCAAAATAAATCCCTAAATAAGTCCAATTTGTGGACTCATCACCAGCCACCTCTAACGGACACAGATTCATTTTGGTTTCCATTGACTATTTTACCAAGTGGGTAGAAACAAGTTCATATAAATTGGTGACCAAGAAGGTTATAACTGATTTTGTTCACAACAATTTGATATGTAGGTTCGGAGTACCAGAATCCATCATTACTTATAATGGAGCGAATCTCAACAACCACTTGATGAGAGAGATATGTGAACAATTCAAGATTACTCACCGAAATTCGACCGCTTATCTTCCCCAAATGAATGGAGCTGTAGAAGCCGCCAACAAGAACATAAAGAAGATTCTGAGGAAGATGATTGACAATCATAGAGGTTGGCATGAGATGTTGCCATATGCTTTATTGGGTTATAGAACCACCGTTAGAACGTCAATTGGAGCTACTCCATACTTGTTAGTATATGGAACAGAAGCAGTTATACCTGCCGAAGTTGAGATACCTTCATTGAAAATCATCCATGAAGCTAAATTGAGTGATGTTGATTGGGTTCACAAACGGATCGATCAATTAACATTGAATGATGAGAAAAGAATGGTTGTTGTTTGTCATGGTCAACTGTATCGACAAAGAATGATTCGTGCTTTCCATAAGAAAGTAAGAGCTAGAATATTTTAAATCGGCCAGTTGGTCCTTAAACGCATTTCCCCCATCAGTATGAGTACAAAGGGAAATTTGCACCAATTTGCCAAGGACCCTATGTGGTTCGCAAAGTGTTATCTGGAGATGCCTTAGTCCTGTCGGAGATGGATGGCACCGAATGGCCAAAATCGATTAACTCAGATGTTGTCAAGAGATATTATGTGTGAAGTTTCAGTTTCTATTCCTGTCATTTCCTCGTAATCGTTCCATTTGCTTGTAATCGCTTTGTTTAGAATTTTATCCCTCTTGTAATGAACTACGTCTGATCTGAATTCTAAAAAATGAGATACGTAGGCGGCCTATGTCGGCCTTGGTCACCCATTTATCCCCTTTTAATATTTTTCCTTGTATTTGAACTACGTTTGACCTAAATTCTCAAGAATGAGATACGTAGGCAGCCTATGTCGGCCTCAGTCGGTTTCTTTGTAAAGTTCTTATTTTCTGTTAATCCTTGAGGGGAAACTACGTTTGACCTGATTCCTGCCTCATCGGCATACGTAGGTGCCACAACGGCTCGGTCATATCTCCCGTAAGATTTCTATTTTTTCTTTACGATAGAAACTGGGGTCTCTCCAACAAAGTCAAGACTGAAGTCACATTGAGAATTGTAACTGGGATACAATTTTTATTAAAATGGCAATAATAATAAAAAAATGATAATAAGTAAAAATAATAATGAAAAAATGAGTTTTCTTAGTTAATATTTTCTCAAAATTAGTCAAAGTCATTTTTAGTCAAATCGCCAGTCAACCGCAAGTTAGCGGACATTCCGAGGGCCTAACACTTTCTCGAAATGTACATTGAACTCGAACCCTTTTTCAATTGATTTTATCTGTTTGAATCTTTTGAAAACCCTAAGTCTTTTTCTTGATTTTTACTAAAAGATTAAATGGTGACTCTGTTCTTTTGGAAAATCGATTTCTCTTCAAACTATAAGTTTAGTCGATTTTTCGAAACTTAGTCATTTCTTTTATTTATTTTTTCGAGTAAAACATTATGTCAATTCAAAAAGTGAATAAACTGTCCATTTTGGTTAAAACATGATATTTCAAATACGTTTTACGTTGTGAAATTCATAATGTAATTGTGAATATGAGTATATTGTTGCTACAAAATATACATATCAGTATATCAACATTTGTATTTGCAGGTCCACAGATAAGCTGACAACATGTGTATATCAATATGTATAGAGTAGTATATATCCATATATATTAATGTATATACTATGTATATTTAATGAAGAATAGTAACTTAAAAGATGTGTTACAGGCTGCATTCTCACAGCTATTGTGTATTTGTTGACGCAATATCAAGCTAGCTAATTGTGTATACATTATAAAACTATGAGTGTATACACTGATATATCTGAGTACATATTTTACTATCTCATAAGTGGCTATAAGCACACAACTCTTAGGACGGTATGTGTGTTTGGGTTTAAGGGTGATTTACTTGAAATGTGTGTGGCCCACTTCGGCTAGAAGTAGACAGTTGTTTGTCGACTTGTTTGCTTCTAGCCAAGGGTATGTCTAAATTTTTTTAATTTATTTCAATTTATTTGTTTTACTTTTCTTTTTAATCTGTTATAACTTATATATTTGAAAAATATGTAAAAGTAATATAAATCACAATAATTAATAACTTAAAATATTTGGTTATATATTTGAAAATTACATAAAAGTACTATAAATCATAATAATTAACAACTTAAAATATTAGATTTTATTATATATTCAAAAATTAGGTAAAAGTACTATATATTCATTTTTGGGAAAATTGTATAACATATCAAACTATTAATTCAAATTAAATGCTATAACCACAGTTTGATTTAATTGTAACCCGTAGCAAATTGTTGCCATTCGCCTCTCTCCCTGAAATTCTCGCTCGCCACTCTCGTTTCTCGCTGGCTCCCTCGCCTCTCTCACTTTTATGCAAACACAAATGTATAAAATGCGTTTGTGTTTGTATAAAGTGAGAGAAAATTGTATATATACATATCTTTTCGTTCGCCTCTATCCCCCAAAGAATCTCGCTCGCCACTCTCCCAGATCTAGCTCGCCACTCTCACTTTATACAAACACAATGTATAAATTGTGTTTGTGTTTGTATAAAGCGAGAGAAAATTGTATATACAAATACAAATACATATATTTTCGTCCTATACACTTAACATTATACAAATACAGATCTTCCCCTGCCCAGTTCTCTTTTGTCTTTCTCTCTTTCTTGCTTTATACAAACACAAATTATACAAATTACAATGTATAATTTGTGTTGTATAAAGCGAGAGAGAGAAATTATACGAACGAGAGGTCTGCCAGCGAAATTATACAAAACTGATGCTCCTGCCAGCGAGTTATACAATCTGATGCTCCATAGCAAACATAAAGTTTGCTATGGAGCGCAATTATGCAAACTATAGCTATAACATACAAATATGATTTTTATGTTTGCTAAACCTAAAATTTTTCATTATTTTTTGAAGATTTGATATTGTAATTCCGAAGCAACAAGAGACAAAAACTTTGTATGCATTCCTTATGTATAACAATGAAGAAATTTATTTCTCTTTATTTACCACTAAATCATGTTCATTAGATAAAATATATATCAAATGATGAGTTAGTTAGTAATTCAAAAAAATGAATGAACATTTTGTCATTTTGTATAAAACAGAATATATGCATTTCAATATTTCAAATATGTTTTACTTTGTTTTAAGTATAGTAAATTTTAACCTAACAACATGTGTGTATGCAAATTATATATATATATATATATATATATATATATATATATATATATAGTGTAGATCTTCATGCAGTAATCGTTTCTTCAACAAATGGTGGTAACTTTAATAACGTGTTATCACTACTAAGCCTATTTGTATTGACTTGTTTTAAGTGTTTTAGGTTAAAATAGGTTTTAAGCATTTTTTGAGTGTTTGGGTAATTAAAAATTTGTTTATACGCACTTAATTTTAAACTAAAATGATCAAACTAAGTCAAAAGTCATAAGTTAAAAAATTTCACTTAATACCTTTTGACTTATAAGTCAAAAGCCTTAAAGATAATCCAAACAGACTCTAAAAAAACATCATACTTTGAGAAATAAATTGATGGGCTACACAAAACTGACGGATAGTTATGTTGTTTGTCAAAAGGTATTACATTAGAAGAATGTGTTGACGATTTGAATAAAAATCAATCCAAATTAAAAAAAAATGAATCAAATTAATTAAATAAATTGATTTTCTTTGAATTTGGTCTGGTCTGATTTGGTTTACATTTTAAAAAACAATAACATTTGATTCATTTTGTTAAAAAAATCTAAAGAATAACATAATAGAACCGACAAATTATATGTGTACTTTTTTTATAACTATATATACATAATATTTTTTTTTATGAATAATTTAAAGAACAACTTTCACATATAGCAAACATAAAAATTATATTTGTATATTATAACTATAGTTTGCATAATTGCGCTCCATAGCAAATTTTATGTTTGTTATGAAGCTTTTGATTTGTATAATTCGCTACAAACATCCAATTTTATACAAATTGTTCAGTTTTGTATAAATTCATTTATGCATTGTAATTTGTATAATAAGATCTGTATTTGTATAATTATAAGTGTATAGGATGAAAATATTTGTATTTGTATATACACTTTTCTCTCGCTTTATACAAACAAAAACTCATTTTTATACATTTTCTACCGAAATGTATAAAATGGCTAATTGTATATCGAATCAGATGGCAAAAAAAAGGGATGTTTGCTGTGAATTACAATTAAAATAAACTATGGCTATATCATTTAATTTGAATTAATAGTTTTCTATTTCATACAATTTTCCCTAATTTAAAATATCTTACATATATTGATCAAAATTTATTTATCATTTATGAAAGCAAAAAGGCCCCAAACAAAAAGTATTTTGAACATGTATGTTTTTCTATTCCTTCACCTTGTCTTTTGATTTTATTTTTGTGCTTGATTAAATCAAATCAAACAAAAAATCAATAACAACCAAACCGATAAATATATATTATATTTGGTTTAATTTAGTTTTAATAATTTAAAAATAAATTAAAGTGGTTTAATTTTCATTTTGACCAATAACCAACTCGATAGTTGTGGTAACCTACTACAAACCTTTGGCAGCCCAATTCAATTTGTTGGGAAGGCCGTCACCGTTGAACCAATAGCAATTCATACATCATTGAAAAATGTTATCGAAATGGGATAATCAAAAGTGCAAGTTTTATCAAATGCGAAAAGGATATGGTACTAAAAAAATGTAGTCGCATGAGAGATAGAGACTACTTGTGAAGACATTTCGAAGCTTATGAGATTTTTGGAATACAATTGCACTCAATTTTAAAAAGTTTTCTATTTCATTATTACATACCATAAATTGGACTTTTACTTTCTCTAGTTGGACCGTAATTGATGTTATCACATCATTTAATTCTTTAATATTGTTGTTGATTACCAAAAAAAACCTATTGAAAATAAAAATCGATGAAATCTTCAGAAATTTGGGAATAAAGACCGCATCGTATAAGTTAGATCCAAGTAAGGGTTTCTTACCAATATGTATATATGTATCAGAGATGTAATACATCTATATACAATGTTTATACATTACCGATAAACATTTTTCAACCCCAACCAATTCAAATCTCGTATAAATGATCCTGAAATTTAGATATGAGCTCCTCTCAACGTTTCGACTCTTTTGATATATTATTTACTTAAAATGATTTATATTTGCAGCATATCAATTTTTAAAGTCGAGCTTTGAAAATGAAAAAAGAAGAAGAAGGAGGAAGAGGAGGAAATTAGAAGGAAAACATCAAATGAATAAGGAAGAAGAAGAAAGAGAAAGAGAAGATGGAAACAACCATTAATTGTTGGAAGAAGAAGAAAAGAAGGCTTCAAATGCACTTCGCGTATATAGTATCGGTCGAATGACTATTGTAAATGTCACACCCCGAGCCTACACCCTGGACGTTGCCGACACTCGTAGACCATTGATGGCCCCAAGCGGACCCTTCGTTTGGCTTACTTAACTCAGCGGAAGACTTAACTCAACATAATAAACTCAATGCAATAGTTTAAATGATAACATCTTAGCCAAAATGACAACTTA